TGTCTCCGGATCTCCGCTCCCTCCGCCCGGTAACTCCACACCCCCGCGCTCCCGTAGCGCTCCGAGGCGAGAAGAGGCCCCACGGAGCCCGCAGACATCACGGTCCTGACCCCGGGGACGGAAACACACAACCGGGGACGGTCAGATGACCCCGTGGACGGTGGGGTTGTAGGACGGTGGGGCGGTGGGGTTGTCGGTATTTCACGGGACACGGGGCAGATTGTGATGTTTTTGTGTCGTTTCCGTGTTTTCTATTTGGCGTGATCTGATTGGTCAGTGAGCGGAAGAGGGCGGGAGTTAACGGAGCGCGCTTAGCCCCGCCCCTCGGGCCCCGAAAGTACGTTTCTTTCTTTCTTTTATTTTTATTTATTTCCTTTTTTACAATTTATAATTCATTTATTTTATTCATTTATTATTTTGTTTTTAACTCGAAGTACATTTCTTTTTTTTGATTACTTATTTATTTTAAGCAGAAGTAAGTTTCTTTTTTATTTCTTTCATTTATCTATTTTTGTTTGTTTTGTTTTTAGTTTTTTACCGGAAGTACATTTCTAAGTTTCTAAGACATCCGGGAACGTGCGTCAGACACGTGTCAGCGCGGCGCGTGTACGTCACGTGCGCGGTCCTGTGGTTTAATTAACGATGACGTCATAATTATTAAATGTAATTAAACACGTGTTTTATGTTTTACGTGTTTTACGTGTTTTATGTTTTACGTGAAGCTGCTTTAAACTGTGGGCCTGTAATGCTCCTGACGACCTCCAGGGGGCGAGAGGCGATCAGTTCTATTCACGAACTAAAAACACACGAGCCGTGATTTATTTAAAGAAGGAATTATTTAAATATTTTGTTAAATCTTGAGTTTTAAAAGTGTTTTTGGACTTAAAACAGTCGAGTTATGGATCTGAGTAACATGGAGCTGGTCTAGTCCTGGTCTAGTCCTGGTCTTGGTTTAGTCCTGGTCTAGTCCTGGTTTAGTTCTGGTTTAGTCCTGGTCTAGTCCTGGTCTAGTCCTGGTTTAGTCCTGGTTTAGTCCTGGTCTAGTCTTGGTCTAGTCCTGGTCTAGTCCTGGTCTAGTCCTGGTCTAGTCCTGGTCTAGTCCCTGGTTTAGTCCTGGTCTAGTCTGGTTGGGTCTAGTCTTGGTCTAGTCCTGGTCTTTTTCTAGTCTTCTAGTCTTGGTTTAGTCCTGGTTTTAGTCCTGGTCTAGTCCTGGTTTAGTCCTGGTCCTGGTCTAGTCCTGGTCTAGTCCTGGTCTAGTCCTGGTTTAGTCCTGGTCTAGTCTTGGTCTAGTCCTGGTCTAGTCTTGGTTTAGTCCTGGTTTAGTCCTGGTCTAGTCTTGGTTTAGTCCTGGTTTAGTCCTGGTCTTACAGAGTTCACTCTTCAATATGTATATGTATAGTGAACTCTGGTCTTGAGTCTTGGGTTCAGGGGGTCAGAGGTCAGGGGGATCAGGAGGTTCAGCGGGGTCACAGCGGGGTCACAGTGGGGTCAGAGCGGGGTCAGAGGGGGGTCAGAGTGGGGTCAGAGTGGGGTCACAGTGGGTCAGAGCGGGGTCAGAGTGGGGTCACAGTGGGGTCACAGTGGGGTCAGAGCGGGGTCACAGTGGGGGTCACAGGGGTCAGAGTGGGGTCACAGTGGGGTCACGGTGGGGTCACAGTGGGGTCAGAGCGGGGTCACAGCGGGGTCAGAGTGAGGTCAGAGTGGGGTCACAGCGGGGGTCAGCGGGGTCAGCGGGGTCAGGGGTCAGGTGGGGTCACAGCGGGGTCACAGCGGGGTCAGGGGGTCACAGCGGGGTCAGAGCGGGGTCAGAGGTCAGGGGCAGGACACTGTGGTGAAACGCTGTGATTTCCTGTAAACACTGACACTTTTCTGCTCTGAAACTGAAACAAACGTCTGGGGATTTTTGTTCCTTAAAAAAAGAGAAACGTGTCTGTGGTGACGAGGCCAGAGTCGCCCCGGGGCAGACGGCTCCACTCACGACCACAACAAACAAACAAACAAACAAAACAACAAACATGAAGAGAAGTGTCCTGCTCAAAGGCACAACAACAGAACAGGATTAAAAACACACAACCTGAAGGAAAAACTTTATAGTCCTGGTTTAGTCCTGGTTTAGTCCTGGTTTAGTCCTGGTTTAGTCCTGGTTTAGTCCTGGTTTAGTCCTGGTTTAGTCCTGGTTTAGTCCTGGTTTAGAGTCCTGGTTTAGTCCTGGTTTAGTTCTGGTTTAGTCCTGGTTTAGTCTGGTTTAGGGTTTAGTCCTGGTGGTTTAGTCCTGGTTTAGTCCTGGTTTAGTCCTGGTTTAGTCCTGGTTTAGTCCCTGGTTTAGTCCTGGTTTAGTCCTGGTGGTTTAGTCTTGGTTTAGTCCTGGTTTAGTCCTGGTTTAGTCCTGGTTTAGGGTTTAGACCTGGTTTAGGGTTTTAGTCCTGGTTTAGTCCTGGTTTAGTCCTGGTTTAGTCTGGTTTAGACCTGGTTTAGGGTTTAAGTCCTGGTTTAGTCCTGGTTTAGTCCTGGTTTAGGTTTAGTCCTGGTTTAGTCCTGGTTTAGTCCTGGTTTAGTCCTGGTTTTTAGTCCTGGTTTAGACCTGGTTTAGTCCTGGTTTACCTGGTTTAGTCCTGGTTTAGTCCTGGTTTAGGTTTAGACCTGGTTTAGACCTGGTTTAGTCCTGGTTTAGTCCTGGTTTAAGACCTGGTTTTAGTCCTGGTTTTAGTCCTGGTTTAGTCGGTTTAGACCTGGTTTAGACCTGGTTTAGTCCTGGTTTAGTCCTTGGTTTAGACCTGGTTTAGTCCTGGTTTAGTCCTGGTTTAGTCCTGGTTTAGTCCTGGTGCTTTAGTCCTGGTTTAGACCTGGTTTAGTCCTGGTTTAGTCCCGGTCTGGGGGAGGAGTTTCTTTGGGTGTTTCTCAGTTTCGCTCTCAGGCTTTTCTGTCATTCAACAACTTTTACAGCGACGAGCCTGAACCTGCCCCGGACTCAAACTGGTCTGAGACGGATCTAAAGCTGGACTCAACCTGGACTCAACCTGGACTACACCAAGACCCCACCAGGGACTAAACCAGGGACTAAACCAGGACTAGACCAGGACTAAACAAGGACTAAAAGGTTTGGATTTGTTCTTTTTGTTGCTGAGTGGGAGGATCCGTGGGAACGAGGAGTCAGACCTGCTCAGAGTGAGTGATTTGTTTTTTTTTTAAATGTTCAGAACTAAACCAGGACTAAACTAGAACTAAACCAGGACTAGATCTAAACCTAGACTAAAGCGGGACTGTAAAAGAGACTAATCTGCACAGGAGACTCCTTTGGTAAACCAAGTGACAATTTCAGGTCTCAGCAACAAAATCAACAGAAAGAGTAAACTGAGACTAAACCAGGTCTGAACCAGGTCTGAACCAGGTTTAATCCAGGTCTGAACTGGGTCTAAACCAGGACTAATCCAGGACTAATCCAGGACTAACCAGGACTAACCCGGTCTTTGTGAGAGCAGTTGAACTGAGGTGAGTCTCTGTTGTGAAATCAAGAAACACGACTGTTGCACTTTCAGTTTGTCACAGGAAAAATACAAGAAATCTGTTGGTTTAGTCCTGGTTTAGTCCTGGTCCAGACCTGGTTTAGTCCTGGTCCAGACCTGGGTTCAGTCCGGGTTCCAGTCCGGTTCAGTTCTGGTTCAGTTCTGGTTCAGTTCTGGTTCAGTTCAGGTGTGTTCGTCTGTTTTGTTTACATGAGGCAGTGACATTTCTGTTCTTGTTCAAACCTGTCAGACTTTTACCTCAGGATCAGTATTTCATAGTAGTAGTATTTGTAGTATTTGTAGTATTTGTAGTATTTGTAGTATTTGTAGTAGTAGTAGTAGTAGTAGTAGTAGTAGTAGTAGTAGTAGTAGTAGTAGTAGTAGTAGTAGTAGTAGTAGTAGTAGTAGTAGTAGTAGTAGTAGTAGTAGTAGTAGTAGTAGTAGTAGTAGTAGTAGTAGTAGTAGTAGTAGTAGTAGTAGTAGTAGTAGTAGTAGTAGTAGTAGTAGTAGTAGTAGTAGTAGTAGTAGTAGTAGTAGTAGCAGTAGTAGTAGTAGTAGTAGTAGTAGTAGTAGTAGTAGTAGTAGTAGTAGTAGTAGTAGTAGTAGTAGTCGTAGTAGCAGTAGTAGTAGTAGTAGTAGTAGTAGTAGTAGCAGTAGTAGTAGTAGTAGTAGTCAGTAGTAGTAGTAGTAGTAGTAGTAGTAGTAGTAGCAGTAGTAGTAGTAGTAGTAGTAGTAGTAGTAGTAGTAGTAGTAGTAGTAGTAGTAGTAGTAGTAGTAGTAGTAGCAGTAGTAGTAGTAGTAGTAGTAGTAGTAGTAGTAGTAGTAGTAGTAGTAGCAGTAGTAGTAGCAGTAGTAGTAGTAGTAGTAGTAGTAGTAGTAGTAGTAGTAGCAGTAGTAGTAGTAGTAGTAGTAGTAGTAGTAGTAGTCAGTAGTAGTAGTAGTAGTAGTAGTAGTAGTAGTAGTAGCAGTAGTAGTAGTAGTAGTTAGTAGTAGTAGTAGTAGTAGTAGCAGTAGTAGTAAGTAGTAGTAGTAGTAGTAGTAGTAGTAGTAGTAGCAGTAGTAGTAGTAGTAGCAGTAGTAGTAGTAGTAGTAGTAGTAGTAGTAGTAGAGTAGTAGTAGTAGTAGTAGTAGTAGTAGAGTAGTAGCAGTAGTAGTAGCAGTAGTAGTAGTAGTAGTAGTAGTGTTGACAGTAGTTCTGCGTAGTTGCAGTTGAATAGAAAACCTAAATTTATCTTTGTTTAACAGCAGCGTTTTATCTCGAAAATAAATTCTACAGAAAAACACACAACCCAGGACTAAACCCGGACTAAACAGGTTAACAAAAACAGGACAAACCAGGAACTAAACCACGGTCTAAACCAGGTCTAAACCAGAACCAGGTCAAACTCTAAACAGACTAAACCAGGACTAACAGGTCTAAACCAGACCAAACCAGGACTAAACCAAACTAACCAGGTCTAAACCAGGAATCAGGACTACAATCAGGTCTAAACCAGGTCTAAACCAGGACTCTCTAAGACCAGGACTTAAAACAGGACTAAACAGGTTAAAGGTCCTAAACAGGTCTAAACAGACTAAACCAGGACTAAACCCAGGTCTAAACCAGGTCTACTAAAAACAGGAACTAAAACGGTCTAAACCAAGGTAAACCCAGGTCTAAACCAGGAACTAAACCACCTAAGAGAGAACCAGGACTAACCAGGTCTAAACCAGGACTAACCAAAGACTAACCAGTCTAAACCAGGACTAAAACCAGGACTAAACCAGGACTAAACCAGGACTAAACCAGGACTAAAACCGGACTACAATTAAACCAGGTCTAAACAGACTAAATCGGTCTAAACCAAGACTAAACAGTCTAAACCAGGACTGAAACCAGGTCTAAACAGATTTGTGAAACGTTGTTCGACCGTCACAGTCAGACGTCTGTGGTTTAGAGAAAATCACGACAGACGATGAAAAATAATAAAACTGTGTAAAGTTTTTGTTTCCTGAATTATCAGAACTGACGTTAAACCCACAACTCTACTTATCATGTCTGCGAGCAGTCTGGGTGCCTGGGTCTGGGCTGGGTCTGGGTCTTGTCTTGGTTTGGTTTGGTTCTTGTCTTGGTCTTGGTCTTTGGTCTGGTCTGGGCTCTTTTTGGTCTGGTCTGTCTGTCTGGGTCTGGGTCTGGGTCTGGGTCCTGGGTCTGGGTCTTGGGTTGGTCTTAGTCTCTGGTCTTGGTCTTGGTTGGTCTGATCTGGGTCTGGGTTGGGTTTTCTGGGTCTGGTTTGATTTGTATTGGTCTCTCGGTATTACGGTCGGTAGGACTCCACTAGGGATCTGCGGTCCTAGAGGTACATACGGGCTACAGACTGGGCTCCAAATCTGCGGTCTTGGAAACCTAGACTAGACCTGAGACCAAGGGACAGACCAAGACCTAAGGATCCAACGCAGGGACGGCTCAGATCCCAGACTTCAGACAGGACGTCCAGTACAAGATCAAGACCGGTCTTGGCAGACCCGATACCCCAGACCAGACCGACCAAGACCGCCAGGACTCTGGGTCAGACCCCTGGGCCCAGACCTCTCACGAGGGTCTTGAGCTCTGGGATCATGGGTCTGGTCCGAGGCATCTCGGCGTCTTGGAGGGACTACAGACCCAAGACTAAGATCAGATGGACCCCTAGACCCAGACCTGCATTTGGACGCTCTTGGTCAGACTCGGCCGCGATCGGTTGGGCTTAGAGAAGATCCCTGGGTCTGAGGAGACATACATTGCGCAATCGTATCCGGTCCTAACTGTATCGGATAACGACCCTGACGGTCCTCATAGAGCCCAGACCTCCTGTAGCGGTCTTCGTCTTGGTCTGGTCTGCGTCTTGGTCTCTGAGCTTAGGTCTTAGGTCTTGGCTCATGGGTCTTCGGTCTGGGTTGGGTCCTGGAGGTCATCGGGTCTGGGTCTCGCGAGCCTTCTCAGACTGGTCTTAGGTCTATTGGGTCTTCGGTTTGGTCATGGCGGTCAGGGAGCTCTGGTCAATGACGGGTTTGGTCTATAGGTGACTCGGGTTCCACGGTCATGATGTCTAGGTCTGCCGGTCTGGGTCATGAACCAGGTCTGGGATAGTTAAGGCTCCTGGGTTCTGGTCGATACGGCTCTGGGTCTCATGGGTCACTGGGTCTAGGTTCATCGACAGGTTCTTGGTCTTCGGTCTGTTGCGTAGGATTGGGTCTGCGGTCCTCAGAAGGTTCTGCGGTCCTTCGAGGGATCTGGGTCTAGGTCGGGTTGGATCTAGGGGTTTAGGTCTGGGTCTGGGTTAGGTCTGGGGTCTGGGTTTGGCAGGATCAGGGGGTAGTCTGGGGTCTAGGTCTGGGTCTTATATGGTCTGGCGGTTTGGTCTCGGTCCTTGGTCTGTGGGTCTAACGGTCTACCGGTTTAGCGGTCTGCGGGTCTACCAGGTCTCGGGTCTGGTCGTACTGGTCCTGGGTAGGTCTGAGGCGTCAAATAATATGTGTGGGTACATGAGAGAGATAATAGAAAGAGCAATCATTGAGCCAATCATAAGGCTACAGAAAAGGTCTACCAACGGCATCTCAGGAATATTCAGGAAACCGCCGCTATGACAACGATACGCAGGTACTCTAACACATTAAGAATACTAATGGGACGCTACACTGAAACTCAGAAAAAAGCGGTCTGACGTTCCTATTAAGGTGCTACCCAAGGAGGTCCTAAAAACACAGACAACCGAGTATCAATCGCAGGCGTACTAATAAGCCAGACGTCCTCAAGCAGCGAATAAACCTGACCACACAAAATAAAGCAGTCATAGGCGCTACCTAAAATAAGGAGAATCACAAAACCATATACTGGCAGACTGCAATACCTACAAAGAACACAACCAGAACCGGAGAATCTATAAGCAAGCACACAACCAAAACTAACACAACACAAAAATACCATAAACGCGCAAAAATACAAACTAAAGCCGCACAGGATCAATACTAAAAAAAACAAGACAAACCACGCAACACAGATCTCAAAGAAGAGAAAAACAACCATAAACAAAAAATATCAAAAAAGAGAAAAGGAAAAATATAGAGTAGATAAAACTAAATATAAAAAGAATATAAAAAAGGGGAAGAAAGGGTCACCTGAGGTCAAGTTGGTCTGGGTCTTATAGACCAGAATGTGGTTGAAAAGAAAAATAAAAAAAAAAGACAAAAACAGAATAGTAAAAAATAAAGAAAAAAAGAGAACAGAAAACACAAGAAAATAAAATAACAAAAACCCAAAGAAAAGATAAATAAAAAAAAAAAAAATGTTAAAAAAAAAAAATAAATAAAAAAATAATAAAAAAAACAAAAAAAATAAAAAAAAAAAAAAAAAAAAAAAAAAAAAAATAGGGACATAGCGTAAGAGTATAAACACAAAAAAAAAAAGAGACTATTATCAACACATCCCGCGAGCACACACAAAAAAGATATAATTATCTGAGGAACATATAATATAAATATAGAGATAAATAAAGGGTTCATGGTTCTAGAGGATATAAGAATAATAGACGGTGCAATAAGGTCCTGGGGCATCATACATAATAAGATAGATAGAATATGTGTGAAAACCAGCATAAAGAATAGATATGATAGAGATGAAGCAGAAGAGTGTCGAGATAAGAAACATAAGGATACATAAAATAGATATAAATAGAAAATAATAAGATTATTATAAAAAGTAAATACATCCAATCACACAGTAGATGACAACATCACAACAAATATGATAAATACATAGAAGTTGATGATGCAACTGATTGATGTCAACTATTAATGATGTCACAACTGAGATGTCACTTCTGTATGTAGTGTCCATAGGCTCTCTAGATTTGATGTCACTAGCGTTATTAGGAATGTTTCATCTGGTTTAGACTGATTATGTCGGTTTAGCTGGATAGACGTCATGACTGATGATGTCATTCTTGATTGAAGTCTGTCATTCTGGGATGAATTGTTACTATCAATATGTACATGATTGATGTCATCTGGTGATGTCACACGTGATGATGTCACATCATGGGATGTCTGAGACACTCGATGATTGCTGCACTCTGATTGATGTTCACTTCTGATGTATGTCCTTGTGATGAGTGGTGTAACACCACATATGATGTTCACTTCTGATGACTCGTCACTTCGATGATGATGTACTTCTGTAATGAGTGTCAACTCACTGTGTTCAATTCACTGAGTGATGTACAACTTCTGAGGTGATGTACACAGTGTCTGGTTTATGAGTCGTCACTGGTCTGAGACTGTCACTCTGATGATTGATAAGCTCTGATAGCGTGATTAGTACACTTACCCCCCCTGGTTCATACAGACTCTGATGGATTTCAACTCGGCATAGCATGACTGATACATCACGATGATGTCGTCTGATGATGTCAGTCCTGGTTGATGATGCTCACACGAACCTTGGTTTAGTCCTGGTTTAGACTGGTTAGACCTGATTTAGTCCTGGTTTAGTCCTGGTTTAGCCTGGTTGTCACACTCTGATGATATCACTCTGACTGATGGTCACACTGATGATGATACCACTTGATGATGTGCACAACATAGGTGTCACTAACGTATGATGCTCTACTGTTCTGATGATGGTCACACTGATGACTGTCACACATGGTATTGAAGTCACTGGCTTAGATCGCACCGGGTACACTCTTGATGATGTACTCTGATGATGTCACTCGGGTGAACTGATAGCTTGTACGTCTGATGATTGTCACATTCATGGGTGGGTCCCACTCTTTGGATATTAGTGTTCCATTGGTGTTTCACTCTGGAACTGATGTTTCACTGCTGATTTTATTTGGATCACTTCATGGTCGACACTGATGATGTCACTGTTCTGATGGGACCTGTGTTTTCACAACCGGAATGCACTGTCTCGGGCTTGATTGTAGGCTCTTCGATGCATTGTCTATCTATGATGAATAGCTCACGCATTTGTATCTACTGATTTATCTGATGGTTTTAGGTCACTCCCTGATGATGTCACTAGGTGATTTAATGATTGATCTTCAGGAATGGGATGTTTAATCAGCTTCCTCGTAGAGTGATTTGTATGGGGACACATAGGTTGTTCATACCGGGTGATGTTTAGATAACCCTCTCTTGGAGTGATGTCATATACTACTGTGTGATGTCGACACTTGATTGAATGTCCTGGTTCTGAGTGACTCCTGTGTCAAAACTTGATATGAATCTGGTCTTTACTGATCGATGATGTCATTTAGCTCACTCACTGATGGTGCACATCATATAGGTCTCCATGCGTTGGATAGACTGTTACGGGTTTTAGGCCCTCGGTGATTTGATGATCACAGTCCTGGCGATTTGAATGTGGACTTTCCCGTGATTGTATTGTCATGCCTGGTTTAGACGCTGGGTTTGGTCTGGTTTTAACGGATGAACGCTCACACAATAGCTGATGTACACTGATGATATCACTCTGATGATGTTCACCTTGAGTGTCGACTCTGGATTGTATGTTCAGACTGGAATAGATTGTGTGTCACTTTAGACCTGGTTTAGTCTGGTTAGTCCTGGTTTTAGACCTGGTTTAAAGTCTGGTTTAGTCCTGGTCTGATGATTTGGTCGGTCCATTGGCTCTGATGAGACTGCTCACACATGGTTGTCACGCTCCTGAAGATTGATGTTACTTCTCTGATGACGTCCGCGGGAAAATCTGTTCAAAATTCCACTCATTGACAGAATATTTTTTCTGAAACTTTAAACACGATTTTAACAAATAAAATGTTTTCTTAAATTTGTATTGTCACATCATGAGATAATTAACTGAGAACTGAAAGGACTAACCAGGACTAACCAGGAAAGGACCAGGACTAACCAGGACTAAACAGGCTGACCAGGATAAACCAGGACTGGACCAGGACTAACCAGGACTAGACAGGACTAGACCAGGACTAAAACCAGGACTAAGGACTAACAGGACTAGACCAGGACTAGACTAGGACTAAACCAGGAAAACAGGACTACCAGGACTAAACCAGGACTAGGACTAACCAGGACTAAACTAAACCAGGACTGGAGGACTAAACAGGACTAAACCAGGACTGGACCAGGACTAAACCAGGACTGGGACTAAACCAGGACTAAACCAGGACTGAACCAGGACTAAACCACTTCTAAACCAGGTCTAAACCAGGACTAAACCAGGGACTGAACCAGGACTAAACCAGGACTGAACCAGGACTAAACCACTTCTAAACCAGGACTAAACCAGGACTGAACCAGGACTGGACCAGGACTAAAACAGAACTAAACCAGGACTAAACCTAAAAGTTCTACAGTTTGTAAAGTTTCTAAAGTTTCTGTAGGTTCTTGAGGTTCTGTTCCGCGGGCCTCACGTTCACCGTTCACCGTTTACCGTTTAGTCGTTTAGTCGTTTACCGTTTAGTCGTTCATGTTCTTGGTGTTTCCGTCAGATGCCCTGGACGGGGGACGAGGACGTGGGGGAGGTGATCATCGGTCCGGGCTCGGGTCACGAGTCCGAGGACCCGGAGGACCCGAGGGACCCGAAGGACCCGAGCTCCCGTCGCCGGGGGGGACGACTCCGGGGCTGTTGCCGCGACGATCACTACAGACGCCTGTCAATCATCAGCATCGTGTGCGGCCTGTCGTGTGTCGGGATCATCGCCCTCAAGTACTCCGTCAAGGTGCGCCCCTGTCACTGTCCCTGTCACCTGCCCTGCCCTGTCTGTCCCTGTCCCTGTCTCTTGTCCCTGTCTCTTGTCCCTGTCTCCTGTCCCTGTCTCTTGTCCCTGTCCCTGTCTCTGTCCCTGTCCCTGTCTCCTGTCCCTCTGTCTTGTCCCTGTCTCTGTCCCTGTCCTAAAGACGTTGTGTTTTGTCTTCCAGGCCAAAGAGCGTCAGAGACATGATCCGGTCGCCGCCGCTGTTTTCGCCCAAAAGGCCAAAAAGTGGAGCATCGTGTCGATCGTGTGTCTGTTCGCTCTGCTCGCCGCCGCGCCCGTCCTCATGGCGCTCGTCTCCTACCTCGCCACATTAAAAGACTGAACCTCACGCACGCTTTTATTTTGGAGGCTGAGACCTGGACCAAACTGAGACCTGGATCAAACTGAGACCTGGACCGGACCGAGACCTGGACCAGACCGAGACCTGGACCGAGACCTGGACCGGACCTGGACCGGACCGAGACCTGGACCGGACTGAGACCTGGACCAGACCTGGACCAAACTGAGACCTGGACCAGACCGAGACCTGGACCAAACTGAGACCTGAGACCGAGACCTGGACCAGACCGAGACCTGGACCAGACCGACAGGGACCGAACTTGTTTTTTTTTTGAACAAATGCACTTCAAGTTGAAAAGTTTGTTACTTTTATTTTGCCATGACAGAGCACTGCATGTTCTGTGTGTGTGCGTGTGTCTCTTGTGTGTGTGTGTTTGTGTGTGTGTGTGTGTGTGTGTGTGTGTCTGTGTTGTGTGTGTATAGTTTGCGTGTTCTCTGTGTGTGTGTGTGTGTGTAGTTTGCTTGTTCTGTGTGTTTATAAAGTAAAAGGTCAAAGGTCGTGGGTGAAACAGTCAAATTCCTGTTGTGGATTTGGAGATAAACTCGCCTCTCGATGTTTAAACGAGCTCCAGACGATGTAAACACCACCAACGTTTATTAATGCTCCACTCTGGAATTTTCCTGCACTGCCGCCTGCTCATCTTCATGATGTCACTGTCCTGGAATGTTCCTGAGTGCAGCTTTAAAGCCAAAAATAAACTCCAATAAAAGCCTGGGTTTTTTCCACTGAGGATTTGTTACTCGCCCCAAACACACAACACACACACACACACACACACACACACACACACACACACACACACACACACACACACACACACACACACACACACACACACACACACACACACACACACACACACACACACACACACACACACACACACACACACACACACACACACACACACACACACACACACACACACACACACACACACACACAGACACACACACACACACACACACACACACACACAGACACACACACACACACACAGACACACACACACAGACACACACACACACACACACACACACACACACACACACACACACACACACACACACACACACACACACACACACACACACACACACACACACACACACACACACACACACACACACACACAGACACACACACACAGAGCTCGCCCCTCCACAGACCTGACTCTGATTCTGCCTCCGGTTTGTTTCCGTGGAAATGTTTCTTGGAGAGAATATTCCACACTGTGACATGAAGAACATTCTCCAAGGAAACAGAAAGTGACAGAATATCACTTTAAACGTAGATGAGCAGGTTACAGGTCAGATCCGTGGAGAGGCGAGCTCAGTACAGTGTGTTTGTGTTAAAATCACAGGTTTAGGTCATTTTCTCCAGAGAAAAGTTTTCTGATGTAAATAAAATAAATAAAATAAAGTGACCAGAGTCTGAAAAACACACAGCTCCAGTTTCTTCTTTTCTTCTTGTTGTTTGTTGTGGTTCAGTCCAGACGCAGATCTGACTCGGTTCAGTCTCATTAAAGACACAGTTCAGCTTCTTGTGTCACAATTAGAGACATAACGATAAACGATATAAAACCGACTCGTTGGATTCTGGTGTCGTGACTCGATGTTCGTGTCGGTGGATCCAGTCGAGTCGCTCCAGGTCTCTGTGTCGTTTGTTTTGGTAGAGAGGGAGGAGCCTCGTACTGTCTCTGCAGGAGGAGGGGGCAGAGTGGGAGGAGCCTCGTACTGTTTTATTATTAAAATCTAAAACACCGAGAAACTCTGCTCTGAATTTACCTGAAGAAAAATAAACTCCAACTGTCCACGAGTGTGTGTAATGTGTAGTGTGTAATGTGTAGTGTGTAATGTGCAGTGTGTAATGTGCAGTGTGTAAAGTGCAGTGTGTAATGTGTAGTGTGTAAAGTGTAGTGTGTAATGTGTGTGTGTAAAGTGCAGTGTGTAATGTGTAGTGTGTAAACTGTTGTGTGTAGTGTGTTATTTGTGTGTAATGTATAGTGTGCAGTGTGTGTAAGTGTAGTGTGTAATGTGTAGTGTGTAATGTGTAGTGTGTAGTGTGTAATGTGTAGTGTGTGTAAAACTGTTGTGTGTAGTGTGTATTGTGTGTAATGTGTGTGCAGTGGATTGTGTGTAATGTAAGTGTAGTGTGTAATGTGTAGTGTGTAATGTGCAGTGTGTAAAGTGCAGTGTGTAAAGTGCAGTGTGTAAAGTGCAGTGTGTAAAGTGTAGTGTGTAAAGTGTAGTGTGTAAAGTGTAGTGTGTAAAGTGTTGTGTGTAAAGTGTTGTGTGTAAAGTGTTGTGTGTGTAAAGTGTTGTGTGTGTGTAAAGTGTTGTGTGTGTGTAAAGTGTTGTGTGTTAAAGTGTTGTGTGTGTAAAGTGTTGTGTGTGTAAAGTGTGTGTGTAAAGTGTGTGTGAAAAGTGTAGTGTGTGTAAAGTGTAGTGTGTGGTAAAGTGTAGTGTGTAAAGTGTAGTGTGTGTGTAAAGTGTGTGTGTAAAGTGTAGTGTGTAAAGTGTAGTGTGTAACGTGTAGTGTGTGTGTGTGTAAAGTGTTGTGTGTGTGTGTAGTGTAGTGTGTAAAGTGTAGTGTGTAAAGTGTAGTGTGTAAAGTGTAGTGTGTAAAGTGTGTGTAAAGTGTTGTGTGTAAAGTGTTGTGTGTGTAAAGTGTGTGTGTAAAGTGTGTGTGTGTGTAAAGTGTAGTGTGTATAGTGTAGTGTGTATAGTGTAGTGTGTATAGTAGTGTGTATAGTGTAGTGTGTATAGTGTAGTGTGTAAAGTGTAGTGTGTAACGTGTAGTGTGTAAAAGTGTTGTGTGTAAAGTGTGTGTGTAAAGTGTGTGTGTAAAGTGTGTGTAAAGTGTTGTGTGTAAAGTGTAGTGTGTAAAGTGTAGTGTGTAAAGTGTAGTGTGTAAAGTGTTGTGTGTAAAGTGTTGTGTGTAAAGTGTTGTGTGTAAAGTGTTGTGTGTGTAAAGTGTGTGTGTAAAGTGTGTGTGTGTGTAAAGTGTGTGTGTGTGTAAAGTGTAGTGTGTAAAGTGTAGTGTGTATAGTGTAGTGTGTATAGTGTAGTGTGTAAAGTGTAGTGTGTAAAGTGTTGTGTGTAAAGTATTGTGTGTAAAGTGTGTGTAAAGTGTGTGTGTGTAAAGTGTGTGTGTAAAGTGTAGTGTGTAAAGTGTAGTGTGTAAAGTGTAGTGTGTAAAGTGTAGTGTGTAAAGTGTAGTGTGTAAAGTGTTGTGTGTAAAGTGTTGTGTGTAAAGTGTTGTGTGTAAAGTGTTGTGTGTGAAAAGTGTGTGTGTAAAGTGTGTGTGTAAAGTAAAGTGTTGTGTGTAAAGTGTAGTGTGTAAAGTGTTTGTGTAAGTGTTGTGTGTAAAGTGTTGTGTGTAAAGTGTTGTGTGTAAAGTGTTGTGTGTAAAGTGTTGTGTGTGTGTAAAGTGTGTGTAAAGTGTTGTGTGTAAAGTGTTGTGTGTAAAGTGTGTGTGTGTAAAGTGTGTGTAAAGTGTTGTGTGTAAAGTGTTGTGTGTGTGTAAAGTGTTGTGTGTGTAAAAGTGTTGTGTGTAAAGTGTTGTGTGTAAAGTGTTGTGTGTAAAGTGTTGTGTGTAAAGTGTTGTGTGTGTGTGTTTCATTAACATCAGTGTTTTTATTTTTTACTCATTAGTTTGTTTTTTAATCGATTCGATATCGTGACTGGTGTCTGGAGCCTCGTATCGAATCGTGGGGAAACTGAATCGCTGCGTCTCTGGTCAGAAGGAAAAAATAAAACCAGATAAAGGTGAAGGTGAAAGGTCAGAGGTCAGAGGTCAGGGTGAGTTTGTGCAGGTGAACAAAGTGAAACTCGTGTTGTTGTTGTTGTTTTTTGGTTTAATACGTCGTTATATTTATTGAACTGTAAAAACTAAACACCATTTAAAAATCCAGATCATTTACACACGAGCCCAGCGCTTCTCCGCCGGAACAACCCACATTTACAAAACTCACACGGACATTTACACGGACGCGCGGAGGAGAAACACGCCAGAAACAAACAGGAAGTACAGAAAAGGCTCGTCTGAAAAGCGTCTGAAATCCTCCGGACGAGTTTTTCCTCAGCGTCGCCCGAATCCGAAGCAAAACTCGACAATAAATAACTTCATCAGACGGTAGAAAAAACAGCGCGGGAATTCAGCACGGACACGAGGACGGAGGAGGAGGAGAGCGCGAGGACGAGGAGACGACGACGGGACGGAAAACACCGAGACTCTGCGGCCGACGTCGTCCACATTCATCCACGACGAGACGCTAACCGGAGGCACCGCTCTGTCTGACGCTTCACCACTTTAAATCCAACCCGACCGAAAAGAACTCAATCTGCGCTGTTTTTGCTTTTTTTTTTTTTTTTGGTCTGGAATGTTCCGCAGTGTGGCATTAAACCTTTCCATCTCCATGGAGACCAAACCCGGACAGAGTTACGGGTTAGATCTGCGGAGAGGCACCTGTTTTTCTCTGGGGATTTTTGAGCTCTAAAATCACTTTTACTTGAAAAAACGTGAAAGAGCAGCTGATTAATGTTGCACTGCGGAACATTCCAGACACAGTGACGACGTCTCCACGGAAACGAGCAGCGACAGAACCCAAACAGCAAAAGTAACGCAGTGCAGCTTTAAGTTCCTCTCGAGTAACACGAGAGTCACAGTCGCAGCTCAGGACTCGTCACGGGAAAATGAAAAATTTGTTGCTGCTGAACATTCTACCCTAGACATACACGCTGAACACCCCCGGCACGATGACGCCGCAAAAGTATCGGCACAGAGACTAGAATTTCCCGATATCGTTCTGGATTTGAGTCGTTTTGAAGTAAAATTTTCCGATATAGTTTCCCATTTTCAAGGCGATTGTTTTGGGTCAGAGGAACGGACGATTTTCCCGACGCGGACGGACGATCGACTCGCTTAAAAACGAACGACGAAAACAGAGTCGCCTACAAATCAAACGACTGAAATCATTTTGAACTTTAAGTCATTTTAACTTAAATCTTTAAATAGTAATAGTAGTGATTTCGAAGTATTGAAAATTCTTGATTCTCGTGCAAAAAAAACAACTTGGATCCGTTTTGTTTGAGGCTCAGGGTTCAGCCCCGTGGTTCAGGAAGTCCATTTCCCATTCGATTTTCTCAGACTTTCAGAATAAAAGCTCCAAGAGAATTCATGTATAATTCGTTCATTCGTTTTTCAAAATAAAACCAAAAATGTGAATATTTTCTTCATTATTTGTTTCCAAAGCCAAAATGAAAACAGATAATGAGTCGTTTTTTCAGTTTTAGATTTTGTGTTTAAAAGAAAAACGGAAAAAATGGATAACGGATAAAAGACTGAACCAGGACTGAACCAGGACTGAACCAGGACTGAACCAGGACTGAACCAGGACTGAACCAGGACTGAGTGTCAGGACCGGGACTGAGATCTGGACCAGGCCAGGACTGAGACTGGAACTGAGACCGGTTCAGTCTTGATTTAGTCCTGGTTTAGTCCTGGTTTAGTCCTGGTTTAGTCCTTAGTCCTGTTCAGTCCTGGTTTAGTCCTGGTTTAGTCCTGGTTCAGTCCTGGTTCAGTCCTGGTTCAGTCCTGGTTTAGTCCTGGTAGTCCAGTCCTGGTTCAGTCCTGGTTCAGTCCATCAGTCATCCGTTTTTTCCATTTTTCATTTCCGTTTTTTCCATTTTTCATTTAAACACAAAATCAAAAACTGAAAAAATTAATCATCTGTTTTTTTCCATTTTGGTTTTGGAGACAAATAATAAAGAAAATAGTCGGGGGTTTTTTTCGTTTTATTTGTCGTTTTATTTTTATCTGTTTCCAAAACTTTATAAACCACCAAATCACTAAAAAATTTTCTGAATTTTGTCTGTTTTAAGTCGAGAAAGCACAATTTAAAAACTCTTAACAGAATTTTCTAAAAGTTCATGGGAAAAACGAACGGAAAATTAACTTTTTACCGACCAGACTGAGACTGTTGAGCTCCGTTGGTTCGATATTGCGATACTCGCCAAGAGCATAACACGGTATCGTATTGAAAATATCGCTACTACTACTTCAAAAAATAAAATAAAAATACTGTGTGGATAGGTTTGAGGTTTTAGGTTTGTGTTTTTTGTGGTCGCGGTGGCGTCGCGCTCTCCTCTCTCCAGTTCATTATTGCATTGTTTTGTTTGTGGTTTTCTTTACAAAACGGTTCGGGGTTTTGTGCGTCGTTTTCGCCTTCACTCGATTCGGCGTCTACAAAAACAAAACAAAAAATGACACAAATCTGAACGGGTTTTTAAGGCTTTACAGCGAAGGCCCGGATATTTACACACGACTTTAAACGAGAAAACGGCTCCTCTAGAATCATTTGTACAAAGTTTTATTTTTATTTTTTTTTACACAAACGAGCTGCACGAAACGAACGTTAAAACTCCTACATTTCGCTTCGGTGCGGTTTTTCAAATACGTCTTATTTACATTCATTTACACTCAGCTGGAAATACTTAAGCAGCTAAAATCAGGCTAAAAACAATAGCTGCCGGCACTGGAGTCACACGGAGGATGAAACCATTTTCTGATTTGGTCTAACGTCGTTTCCTCGTCACAAACAAACCTGGAGAAGTTTTTTTTTTTGTTTCATTCACACACATTTATCGCACAAACCTCCACATTTAGGCTGAAGGGTTCGTGTAACATTTGAACTTTTGAATTTCAATTAAGACACAAAAACAATAAAATGGGAAAAACCTGGACAGAGTTACAGGTCGGATCTGCGGAGAGGCGACGCCCCTCACCGTCAGAACACCTGTTTTTCTCTCGATTTTTGAGCTCTAACATGACGTTTACTTGAATAAATGTAACTGCTTAATGTCGCACTGCGGAACATTCCAGAGAGTCCCTCTCGAATAACACGTCACAGTCAGTCGCAGCTCGGACTCGTCGCGGGAAAATAAAAATTTTGTTGCTGCGTCACCACGGTAACTGCTGCACTTTCTTCCCTAGACGTACACGTAGAACGCCCCCGGCACAATGACGCCGCAAAGTATCGGCACCGAGACTAGAATTTCCCAAGATCGTTCTGGATTTGAGTCGTTCCGCAGTCAAATTTTCAATATAATTTTCCGTTTTCAAGGCGACGGATTCCGAGCTCTATTTCCAATATTTAATTTAAAGTTTATTTCTTGCTCTTTTTTGCTACTTATTTAGAATTTGTTATTATTATTTAGAATTTATTACCATTTATATTTTTTATTATATTTGTTATTATATTGATGATGTGACTCCTGAGTCCAAATCATTTCCCTCGTGGATCAATAAAGTTTGTCTAAGTTTAAAGTTTCATCGTGACAATTTCAAACAGTTTTTCCATTTTATTTATTTATTTATTTCGTTCTTAATTGAAATTCAAAAAGAATGAACGTTACACGGACCTGAGTTTTTCTCTTTAACGTGTTTTTGCATCTCAAAGAGTCAATTTTATGTGAAACTTTACGGTAGTTTGACCCAGAATGATCCGAAAAAGAGTTGTGAAGACGAGTGGACTTTAAAAACCCAGAGGACCATTTACGGGCGACCACCTGATGACATCACAAGGGGGGAGACAAATGTGTGTGAACGAAACGAAACAAAACACAAGGTCTGATTCTGAGGAGGACGGGACGTTAGAGCAGCGTTAAAGCCCCACTGCGGGACATCGTGTGACGTCAGAACAGAACGTGACGTGAGCAGAATCTGGGAGTTTTAAAAAGAACGACATTCAGAGGTGTCGGACGAGGCGACGAGGCGCCGGACGAGGCGCCGAGGCGTCGGACGAGGCGCCGGACGAGGCGTCGGACGAGGCGTCGTGCGTCTGCGTAGGCGTCTGCGTCTGCGTAGGCGCCTGTGGAGCGTGGAGAGAAAAGTAGCTGCCGCCGCACAAGAAAAAAAACGAGTCTGAACAAATAAAAACGATGAAAATGAAACGAATAAATGCGTCTGTGATCGAAGGCCGAGGAGCTGCTCTCGTGAAACCTGGAACCGACCAGAACCAAGACAAGAACCAAGACCAGGTCAGAGGGACACGATCGGTTTAAGGACGAGGCTCCAACACAAACAACAGAAGATCTCCTCTGAAACAGCAGAAGATCTCCCCTGAAACAGCAGAAGATCTCCTCTGAAACAGCAGAAGATCTCCCCTGAAACAGCAGAAGATCTCCTCTGAAACAACAGAAGATCTCCTCTGAAACAGCAGAAGATCTCCTCTGAAACAGCAGAAGATCTCCTCTGAAACAGCAGAAGATCTCCCCTGAAACAGCAGAAGATCTCCTCTGAAACAGCAGAAGATCTCCTCTGAAACAGCAGAAGATCTCCTCTCTGAAACAACAGAAGATCTCCTCTGAAACAGCAGAAGATCTCCTCTGAAACAGCAGAAGATCTCCTCTGAAACAGCAGAAGATCTCCTCCTCTGAAACAGCAGAAGATCTCCTCTGAAACAGCAGAAGATCTCCTCTGAAACAGCAGAAGATCTCCTCTGAAACAACAGAAGATCTCCTCTGAAACAGCAGAAGATCTCCTCTGAAACAGCAGAAGATCTCCTCTGAAACAGCAGAAGATCTCCTCTGAAACAGCAGAAGATCTCCTCCTGAAACAGCAGAAGATCTCCTCTGAAACAACAGAAGATCTCCTCTGAAACAGCAGAAGATCTCCTCTGAAACAGCAGAAGATCTCCTCTGAAACAGCAGAAGATCTCCTCTGAAACAGCAGAAGATCTCCTCTGAAACAGCAGAAGATCTCCTCTGAAACAACAGAAGATCTCCTCTGAAACAGCAGAAGATCTCCTCTGAAACAGCAGAAGATCTCCCCTGAAACAGCAGAAGATCTCCTCTGAAACAGCAGAAGATCTCCTCTGAAACAGCAGAAGATCTCCTCTGAAACAGCAGAAGATCTCCTCTGAAACAGCAGAAGATCTCCTCTGAAACAGCAGAAGATCTCCTCTGAAACAGCAGAAGATCTCCTCTGAAACAGCAGAAGATCTCCTCTGAAACAGCAGAAGATCTCCTCTGAAACAGCAGAAGATCTCCTCTGAAACAGCAGAAGATCTCCTCTGAAACAGCAGAAGAAAACAGATCTCCTCTGAAACAGCAGAAATCAGAAGATCTCCTCTGAAACAGCAGAAGATCTCCTCTGAAACAGCAGAAGATCTCCTCTGAAACAGCAGACGATCTCCTCGTGTTTTTGTGAGAACGTTTGGACTTCATGATCGTCTGAAGCTCTTTTGAAGTCGTTGACCTCTGACCCCAGGAGAACACGAAAGCAGCGGAACCTGAAATGAAGCAGAACTCACCGGAACATTCTCCGGTGGGCTCAGAAAGTAGCACTGTTGCCATGGCGATTACACAGTTTAAATTAAATATTACATCTTCTGAACAAACGTCAAAAGTCCTCAAGATGGCGCCCGTCGAAAAGGCCCGAGAACACAGGCGGGACCGAGTTTAGTCCTGATGTAGACCGAGTTCAGTCCTGATGAAGACCGGGTTCAGTCCTGATGAAGACCGGGTTCAGTCCTGATGAAGACCGGGTTCAGTCCTGATGAAGACCGGGTTCAGTCCTGATGTAGACCGGGTTCAGTCCTGATGTAGACCGGGTTCAGTCCTGATGAAGACCGGGTTCAGTCCTGATGTAGACCGGGTTCAGTCCTGATGAAGACCGAGTTTAGACCAAGTTTAGTGTAGGCCAAATTTAGTCCTGATGTAGACCTGATGTGGTTTAGTTCTGATGTAGACCAGGTTTAATGCAGGTTTAGTTCACATTTTACTCAAGCACTGGTTTAGTCCTAGTCCAGGTCCTAGTCCAGGTCCTAGTCCAGGTCCTAGTCCAGGTCCTAGTCCAGGTCCTAGTCCAGGTCCTGGAGTGAGTGCAGCCCAGACTCGTCCTTTCTTCCAGAGCTTTTTATTGGAGTGTCTGAACGCTCGGAGAATGGTGATTACAGTTGGACTAAACGTGGCGCCGGTTGCCGTGGCGACCAACCTCAGCAGATACACGTATAAATAACCCCCTGGACTCTCGCCACATTAAACTCCGCCCCTCAGGTCTCCTTTATTCCCCCGCTCTCGCTCTTCCGCAGCGTGTCCTTCGTTCCCGCGGCGTGTCCTTCGTTCCCGCGGCGTGTCCTTCGTTCCCGCGGTCAGCTGTAGTTGTGGGCGAGCCACGCCGCCAGCTGCTCCAGTTTGGCGCAGAGCAGAGAGTCGGGGTCGGACGCCAGCGCCGGCTCCTCCCTGTTGCCGCGGCGTTTCCTGGAGATGGCGGCGTTGGCTTTGGCCGCTCCCACCAGAGGTTTCTTGGGTCGTCGAGATTCTCCGAGCTCCGGGAACTCCAGGAAACGCTTGACCCGCTTCTGCCCGCACCAGGCCTCGGCGCCGTTTTTACGACTCAGAGGAGCTTCAAAGATCGTCTCCAGACGACTGAAAACACACACAAAAAACACACACACAGCGGTTAGAATAAAGGGTCGAAGGAGAGACGGAGGAGAGATGGAAGAGAGAAGGATTAGGGAAGGAGGAGAGATGAAGGAGAGGTGGAGAAGAGGAGAGATGGAGGAGTGATGAGGAGAAATGAAGGAGATGGAGAAGAGACGGAGAAGAGGAGAGGTTGAAGAGAGATGAAGGAGAGATGGAGGAGAGGAGAGGTTGAAGAGAGATGGAGGAGAGATGGAGGAGAGAGGTGGAGGTCAGAGGTCGGATGTAGTGAGCACCTTTCCGGGGGTTTGCTGAAGTTCTTGTTGGTGTAGATCTCCTCCAGACTGAACTCCTTCTTCTTGACCCTGAGGAGAAACAGACGGACGGACAGACGGAGAGATGAACAGACGGAGACATGAACAGACGGAGACATGAACAGACGGAGAGATGAACAGACGGAGACATGAACAGAC